ACAATTTAACTACACAACTACAAAAAAAGAACTATTGACGATGATATTTGTTTTAGATAAATTTAGATCCTATTCAGTAGGATCTAAAGTTATCATTTATACGGACCATTCAATTCTTAAATATTTGTTATATAAGAAAGAAGCAAAACCTTATTTAATCTGATGGATTCTCATATTGCAGAAATTTGATATGGATATTAAAGATAAAAAGAGATTGGAGAATCTTGTGACTGATCATCTTTCCAGACTAGAGTATATCCTTTCAAATGATTAAGTTCCAATTAAAGAGAATTTTTCGAATGAATATGTTTTAATAGTCACCAATTCTCCATGGTATGCAAATTTTGCTAATTATTTGGTAAATGATTTTTGCCAAATGGTTTCGATTATCACCAAATAAAATTTTTTTGCATGATATTAAAGTTACTTTTGGGAAGAACCATTGTTCTATAGACATTGTGCCGATGGTATGATTTGTAAATGTGTTCCTGATGAAGAGGTACGTAATAATTTATATCATTGTCATAATTTTGAGATGAAAGCATTGAGGGGCATTTTATTTTTATTTTTTAAAAAATATTCCCGGTTCCTTGGTATGCATGACAATTTTTAACATATTCCCTAGTATCTTGGTATATAGTTGGCCAATAAAATCTTGATTGTCATACCTTTGCTATGGGACCATCGTGGATTATGTTTCTAAATAGGTGAAGACAATTGTTGCACCTACTAATGATACTAAAGTTGTATAAAAATTTCTTTAAAACAAATATTTTTAGTAGGTTTGGCATACTTAAGGCCATACTAAGTGATGAGAGAAAGCATTTTTGTAACAAACAATTTGATTCTTTGTTAGTCAAGTATGGTTGTAGGCACAAGACATCACTCCCATACCATTCTCAAGTAAATGGACAAGCAGAGTTGGCGAATCGAGAAATCAAGCTCATCTTATAAAAGACAGTGAACAAATCAAGAAAAGATTGGACAAGAAAACTCAATGATGCTCTTTGGGCATATCGGACAGCGTTTAAGATACCCTTGGGGATGTTGTTGTATCATTTAGTATATGAAAAAACTTGTCATTTATATGTAGAGATTGAACATAAAACTTATTAGGCTATTAAGGTTATTAATATGGATTTTAATCTTGCAAGTGACAAAAGGTTACTTGAGTTGAGCGAACTGGAAGAACATTGATTAAATGCTTATGAGAATGTCAAGATATATAAGAAAAAGATCAAATTTTAGCATGATAAGCATATTATCTCTAAGAAATTTGAGGTGGGACAAGGTACTTCTATACAACTCATGCCTTATGTTGTTTCTAGATAAGCTTAAGTTAAGATGGTCTAGATTGTTTGAAGTGACTCAAGTGTTTTCCTATGGAGTGGTGGAGATCATGAATGAGAGAAAAAAGAAATTCAAGATCAATAGACAAAGATTGAAACCCTATTTGGCAAGTGAAATTATCCCTAAAGGACTCGTTTATCCTTTAGGTGATTTATCTTCAACTTAAGTAACTTCAAGAAGAAAGTTGAGCTTAATGACTTTAAATAAATCACTTGTTGGGAAGCAACCCAATATTTTTGTGTGATTAACGTCATTTTAACTTTCCTTTATATGTTTATGTATGTTTCATACTTCAAGTTGGATAAAAATGGAAGAGAGCTCACAAAGTGCAATTGAAGCATCAAAAAGCGGACTTTAATTCTCATTATAAACTTCATGTATTTTGGGGTTTGCATTTTATAAATCAACATAAAATCATCACACGCAAGTTTGTTTTTGAAGAGAAAAGATTGTGTAGAAGTGAAATTCCATGTTTGAATTAAACTTGGAAAAAAAGTTATTGAGCATGAGCGAAAAAAATTCTGCAGAAAATCTGGACAAAACTGGTTAATGTTAGCAAGTTAGCGGGTGAAAGTCGGAACTAGTACTCATGGTTAGAATAGTTTAAAAACATGGTTAGTTAGTTCAAAATAAGATCTGAGTAACGCCTGCGTGAATCATTAGACGATCACTCAATGAGATTTAGTAAATCAAATTTGATTACAATGAAAAAAACGTCAAAGACCAATAGCAAATAGCAGGCATTCTCAATTTCAAATTTTATATGCTTGGTAGCTTTTTCACATGAACAAAGTTCAGTTTTCAGAATTATATCAGAGGTTGTTTTTTCAAATCCCACATTAACTGCTTTACATTCCACATTTACAAGGGAAAATTTTTTTGTATTCAAGGGGAAATTCCAAAACTTGCAAGGAGGAAGAGGATTTGAGAGTCAAGTTAGTTTTCAAAACATTTGTAAAATATGGTGCTTCATTTAAAAGTTAAAGTTTGATTTACTTTTCGAAGCATTTGTAAAATAATTTAGCACAATCATAAGAACGGATATCAAGTTTTTCATACTCATATATTTCATTCTATGATAAACAACTATGACAATATGGTGCGTTATTGAGAATACTGATTCTATGATGGACAGGACTCAAAACATCTTGTAGTGATTGAAAAATATTAAGTTGTTTAGTGATGCATTTTGTGTCAGTTGATGTTTCTTAGCATATGAAGTTTTTTTTGCATTCGACAATCTTGCACAAATATACACTCTTTTTTTTTTTTAAGATCTAGAAGTCATGCACGTCGACACACTACGTACATATAATTTTATGTATAAATTATACTATAATATGCACTAAAATATATAATATAATACTATCATAATATGTATGATTAGAGCTATCAATAGGTCGAACGGGCATGAGTTCGGCTGTTCAACTTGAGAAAAGTATGATTGAATCAGTACACATGATTGGATTGGAAAGAGTTTGGGTTGAATATACGACTCGATTTAAACGTTAGTGGAGCCCGGGTATCATTGGGCTCGACCCAGTTAGAATCTGATCCATTAAAGATTACATTAAAAGCGTATGTTTTGTATGTAATAATGTGTATATTATGTTTAATAGTGAGTTTGGGCCAATTATGAAATAGGCCTGAAGCTCTAATTATAATGTAAGTTGATCATATGACCCGAAATCCAAATTCCAAAAGCCCAACCCTTCCACATTTGTGTGAGCCGAGCAACTCAAACATACACATATACAAATACTCTTATATATATATATATATATATATATATATATATATATGTATGCATTCTTGTGTCTGTTACCTCCAATGAAAATATGAATTTTGGAAGAGTTCATGACCTTTATTCTAATGATTCAGTCTATCTTATCATTCACAAATCACCAATTTGACCAAGACCGTAAATCTAAATTCAATCCTCTTGTAGGTTTCATAGTGGTAGAGTCATCTTATGTTTTTTCGTGTCCTAGGTAGGAGTTCTAAATAATAGTGACAGTAGAAATTGGCCCGTTAATTGAGCGAGGGAGGCTTATTGTTTATTACAACAAGTGTAAGAGCCCATTTAGATTGTTACTTTTTAGAGTTTTTTTATAGAAAAATGTCCTGCATCGATTTGATACATTTGAAGTTAAATGGTAATTTGAAATGTGTTCATGAAAAATATAAAAAGGCCTAGATTTTGGGTTTTCTGGCAAACATGGTCCATAAGAGCTTAGGTTTGCGGTATGAATGAATCGTATAACGTTTTATAAAAATTCTCTTTACGTTGTTGCTTTTGTAACCATTTGGTTCTAGGAGATCTTATGTTTCAAAGCTCGCATAATACCATTAGTGGGTCCGGTGGCAACTGCTACATGGGAAAACAATCAAGAACTATTCTTGTATTTTTTCGTGGAGCATATTCTTAGAGGATGTGATAACCAACTTAGGTTGAGCACTTTTAATGGTTCTTGAAAAAGAGTTGCTCTTGCTGGCAGTTGGGGTTGCGTATTACCCTTGGGCCTAGGATCGTTGGAATCTCCACTGTTTTAGCCATTGCATGGGTAAATTATATTGCTATTTTTTAAAATTATATTGCCATTAATATAAGGATCACGATATTTTGGAAAGATTGCAACATAATAACAGTAATTGGGGATTGGTAACAGAAGGGGATAAATCATTGGATTTTTGTAAAGCAAATTACTTTGTGTTAAAGTATAAGCTGATCAATGTATTAATGATAGAGTATCCTTTAATTTTTGCTGGAGCAGCTTGACTGTTGATTATGTAATTTGTGGAGTTTTCTGCTTTCCTGAATGACTTTTTACTACATACAAAAAGTTACTGAATTGAAGCTTAAAGATATCTTCCCCTATTGAGACTTTTTGACTGAAAAACAATTTGGAAGGGAGTTGTATACAAGGTTCTTAACCCTAGAAGCGTACACGGATCCAGAAATTTTGATTAAGTGGACTGACAAGTAGATATTTTACATATTTTTAGTGTGTTTTATTGGTTAGCTTTGGTGTGTTTTATTTAGTTTTATAGCTAATAAACTAGGATTCTAGTGAAAATATACATTTTATGGTTAAAGTGTAAAAATTGCATTTTATGGATTTTTATGGTAAAAGCTTCATATTTTGTAGGTTTAATGATTCAATCATCAAATGGAGTGCATTGAGAAGATAATTGGATGATTGATGATGGTTTAAAGTGATAAAAATAAAATATGAAGTGTAAAAGAGAAAATGCAATTTAAGGACAAAAGAATGCAAGAAAAGTCAGCTTTGGCAACCTGTAGTATTTCGGCTATATCTTGAATTACATACATTGGATTGAGATGATTCTTGAACCATTTTGAAATTAAGAGACATATCTAAATTTGGTATGAATGTAGACACCAAATTTTTGTTAATTTTTAATATTTTCTTGAAATTTTTCTATTTAATGGATTATTTATTTTTTAACATTTTAATGCAAATTTTTTCTTATATTTGCAGGTTTGTTTTAGAAAAAAAATAAAAATAAATAAAAACCAGTTTTTTTGTTAAAAAAATAAAAATAAATAAAAGTGGACATCATGATGCCACCACAATCCACCTTTTTTGACCAAAGAAAGCCAAAAGAAAAGAAAGAAAGCAACGGAAGGGAAGCAGAGGAATTGGACAAAAGAATTTGGGTTTTGCAGAAGAGGCCCCTAACTCCTCCCACTCCTCTCTCTCTCGGTTGGAGCTCTCAACCGAAAAAGAAAAAACAACTCTCCCTCTGAATTCTCTCGACTGGCTCAATGGATCAAAAAAAAAAGGCGAAGCAAAGAAGAAAAATTGCTCCAGAGGTCCCTGGCTCCTCTCGGTCTCCACTCTCTCAACTCTCTCAATTCTCTCGGCTGGTTCAACGGGCAAAGGAGAAGAAAAATTGCTCCAGAGGTCCTCGAGAGCTCTCAACAGACAGAAAGAAAAGAAAAGCAAGAGGGAAGAAGAAAATTTTGCAGAGAGGCCCTCACTCTCTCAACTCTCTCGACTTCCGGGCGGCAGGAGTAGAAAGGGAAGAAAAAAAATATCTCTTGGCTCTCCCTCTCATTTTTTTTTAGCAAATAAAACACTCACTCTCAGGTTTTCTCTTGGACAGGGCAAGGCCAATAAAAACGGTTGAAAGCTCATAATTTCATCAAATTTTAGTCAAGAGACTAAAATCTTCATTGAGGTATCTCCCTTCATTTTATTTCCTTTTCAATTTTTTAATTAATTATATTGTAAGCATGTTTAGTTGCTAATTTGTATTTTTCTATTACTTTTTTTCATTATTATTATTATTATTGTCATTTTTAGGGGACTTGTTTTGATTTAATTTTGCCATATTTGTTGTTGCTTTTATTGATTTCAGTTTATAGTTATGTTGTGAAAATCATAAGGAGTGTTGTAGTATAAATTTTATGATTTTTGGTGAAGATTTGAGTGTTTTAAAAAATAATAAAAAACCGGACTGTTTTGGCAATTTCGCCAATTTTGATTCATTTTTTGTAAAAAAAAACTCCGGAAATGGAATCTACTCGAAAAATCGAGTGGAAGTGTGTGTTTTGGTAATTTTTGGCGACCGGAAAAATCGCCGGTGATTGGCAACTGGGAGCGGTTTGTCACCAGTAGGGCTGCAAACGAGCCGAGCCGAGTCGAGTTTTGAGCTAATCGAGCCGAGTCTCGACTAAATTTTACCAAGCTCGAGCTCGAGCTCGAGCTCGACGAGCCGGCAAATTTCGAGCTCGAGCTCGACTCGAATCAAGTCGAGCCGAGCTCGAAAAAAAATAAAAAATAAATATTTTATTTAAAAAATAAATAAATAAAATAATATTTTTTTCTTAATAAATAATAAAATATTAAGAACATATACGTAATTTTACTATGAAAATAAAAAATAAAAAATATATATATAATATACGTAATTTTATTATTAAATAAAAATAAAAATAAAAAAAAAATATATATATACCCATCGCGAGCTAACGAGCTTAATATTCTGAGCTCGAGCTCGAGCTCGAGTTTGACTCGAGCCGGCTCGAGCTCGACTCGAGTTCGATTAACATCGAGCTCGACTCGAGCCGCTCGCGAGCGGCTCGATTAGTTTGCAGCCCTAGTCACCAGGCAACCATTGCTGCCAGAGGAAAATTTGCAGAAGGAAAACCAGCAAAGAAGAAGAATAGCTTCTCGAAGCTTTTGCATGAAAATTTTTCAAAATTGCATGTTGATCCCCGGATTTTGACTTAATTCTGTTATGGCCCAAAATTTGGGACAGTATAATCAATTTTATCCTTTCAAAATGATAAGTTTCTTTGGTATGTTTAAATGCGATTTTTAAGTAGCTTATTTATGAATTTTAGGATAAAATTTAAGATTTAATAATTTTGATAGATTTGTTATTTTCATTGGGTTTGATAAAAATAATTGGAGTTTTTGGGCTGAGGTTTGTTTGTTTGGGTTTTGGTATAAAATCTGGTTCATTTTGTTGGGTTTTAGGAAGTGGGTCTTGGCTTACTTTTATGGATTTTAGCATGGGCTTGGGAATTGAAGCCCACTCCTTTTCATTGGATTTGTTGGGTAAAAGAGTTAGGCATAATCCGCTCCTCTCCTTTGGGTTTCGGTTGGACTAGGAAGCTTTCGACCCAAACAAATAAATTAAATGGCCCAAGTGGCCTGTTGAGCTAGGAAGACCAGAAATGAATTTGCACTTTGGTCCCTGAACTTTATCTTTCATTTAATTTTGGCCCTAAAATTTGAAAATTATATTATTGCCCCAAAAGTTTTTCAATTTTTGCAATTCAGTCCCTAGTGAATTTTGACTCTTTTTATTATGATTGTTTCTTTTCTTTAATAGCTAATTACGTTACTTTTGAATATATTTGACTTGTAATTTTTAGATGTTCTTAAGTTTCTTTATATTTGACATGTTAGTGTGAATTTAGTATTTTATCATTATTATTATTTTTCAATTAAATTGGTGCCATGATTCTTTTATTCATTTTGAGTATAAAGAGGACAATTTGACTTCTATTTATTCATCATTTCAAGGGAGGTATCTTCTTGTTTTATTTTAAACCCTCTTATGTGTTCTTATGTGTTTTTATGTGTGAATTTGCATGTTTTGAGTGATTTTCTTTTAGTTATTTGTTTTATTTGTTTTAAGCTTCATATATTTAATTTAACTTTGATGATTATTTGAGAGGCAATTAAATGCCAAATTGTAATAGTTAGATTATTATTTTATTTCATTCCTTCCCCCTTTAGATTGTAGTTAGGGTCACAAATGTAAGAGTTAAGTCTTTATTCGCTTTTCTTTATTTATGTGTTTGCATGCTTGTGTGTTTATGTGTTAACTCGTTTTTTAGGATCTTTGCATCTAGATATTATGTTTACGTGTTACATGTTACGTGTTCTTATGTGTTTATTTGTTTAATTTATGCCTTATTTATTCTACTATGTATTATTAATCCATGACGTCACCACACTAGTCCAACGCTAGTTGTGACTTTTCCCTTCATTTACTTGCTAGTCCAACGTTAGTAAGAACTTTTAGAAATGGGTTAGTCTAACGCTAGACCCTTAGATTGTTCATGCATTAGATTCATTTTTGTGTGATATTCATTACATTTTCATGTATATTTTATTTTTTGGAATCTTTTCCATTTGCATGATATTCCCTATTATCTATTATCCCCCTATCCTCTATATGTGTTAATAGGGAATAAAAGATAGAGTCTATATGTGTTAATAGGGAATAAAAGATAATAGGGGGATAATAGATAGAGGATAGGGGGATAATAGATAATAGGGAATCATGCAAATGGAAAAGATCCTAAAAAATAAAATATGCATGAAAATGAATATCACACTAAAATGAATCTAATGCATGAACAATCTAAGGGTCTAGCGTTGGACTAACCAATTTCTAAAAATTTTTACTAGCGTTAGACTAGCAAGTAAATGGAGAGAAAAGCCACAACTAGCGTTGGACTAGTGTGGTGACGTCACACATAAATAATACATAGTAGAATAAAGAAGGCATAAATTAAACAAATAAACACATAAGAGCACGTAACACGTAACACGTAAGCTTAATATCTAGATGCAAAGATCCTAAGAAAACGAGTAAACACATAAACACACAAGCATGCAAACACATAAATAAATAAAAGCGAATAAAGACTTAACTATTACATTTGTGGCCCTAACCACAATCTAAAAGGGGAAGAAATGAAATAAAATAATAACCTAACTATTACAATTTGGCATTTAATTGCCTCTCAAATAATCATCAAAGTTAAATTAAATGTATGAAGCTTAAAACAAATAAAACAAATAATAAAAGATAATCACTCAAAACATGCAAATTCACACATAAAAACACATAAGAACACATAAGAGGATTTAAAATAAAACAAGAAGATACCTCCCTTGAAGTGGTGAATAAATAGAAGTCAAATTGCCCTCTTTATACTCAAAATGAACAAAAGAATCATTGTAACAGCCCCACCTTCCCCTAAGGCGAACCAAAGGGGTTAGCGGACTGCCTGCCCAGCTCTCGCCAGGACTACGGATCCGTTTACGTCAATCTAATACGTTCCGGAACTTACCAATGCAAGCAACCAAGTCAAAATGGCAACATAACCCAAAATAAGAAAATGAAATCCGGAGTCGGCCATGATAGTAACCGACCCGTCAGAACCCAACCGAAAGAGCACGCAAACATTCACATCTGAACTTTAGCGATTACAATCCAAAATGACATACAAAAGTTTTCAAAAGTTAATACATATACACGGTTTGCCAAATCAAAAGAGAAAACGCCCCAAAAGTATACTTAGGGTTTTAATACATGAGTTATAAATGCATTCCTATCCTTTCTTTTCTCTCTCACATCAATCAAATCTCACTCTCTACTTATCTCTTAACACCCGATAAATTTTCCACAATATCCGAAACATAATCGTATTGGCCGAATTTTCCCGAACTTTTCGCACTCGTGGGTCCCACGTCCAATATATATTCTTAATTTTCTAAAAACTCTCCAATACGAGAAAACTCATCTTAAAACTATAATTACTCATAAAATTCACCAGGAAAATATTCCTAAGCCAGAAAATGCAGAAAACATGCAATTAAGGGGAAATAAACCCTAGGAAAAATATTAGGGTTTTACGGGTTCTCACAATCATGACACCAATTTAATTGAAAAATAATAATAATGATAAAATACTAAATTCACACTAACATGTCAAATATAAAGAAACTTAAGAACATCTAAAAATTACAAGTCAAATATATTCAAAAGTAACGTAATTAGCTATTAAAGAAAAGAAACAATCATAATAAAAAGAGTCAAAATTCACTAGGGACTGAATTGCAAAAAATTGAAAAACTTTTGGGGCAAAAATATAATTTTCAAATTTTAGGGGCCAAAATTAAATAAAAGATAAAGTTCAGGGATCAAAGTGCAAATTCATTTTCTGGTCTTCCTAACTCAATAGGCCACTTGGGCCATTTTATTTATTTGTTTGGGCCGAAAGCTTCCTAGCCCAACTGAAACCCAAATGAGAGGAGCGGGCTATGCCTAACTCTTTTACCCAACAAACCCAATGAAAAAGAGTGGGTTTCAATTCCTAAACCCATGCTAAAATCCATAAAAGTAAGCCAAGACCCACTTCCTAAAACCCAACAAAATGAACCAGATTTTATACCAAAACCCAAACAAACAAACCTTAGCCAAAAAATTCCAATTATTTTTACCAAACCCAATCAAAATAATAAATCTTTCAAAATTATTAAATCTTAAATTTTATCATAAAATTCATAAATAAGCTACTCAAAAATCGCATTTAAAATACCAAAGAAAATTATAATTTTGAAGGGACAAAATTGATTATACTGTCCCAAATTTCGGGCCATAACAGAATTAAGTCAAAATCCAAGGATCAACATGCAATTTCGAAAACTTTTCATGCAAAAGCTTCGAGAAGCTATTCTTCTTCTTTGCTGGTTTTCCTTCTGCAAATTTCCTCTGGCAGCAATGGCTGCCTAGTGACGAACCGTTCCCGGTTGCCAATCACCGGCGATTTTTCCAGTCTCCAAAAATTACCAAAATACACACTTCCACTCGATTTTTCGAGTAGATTCCATTTCAGGAGTTATTTTTTACAAAAAATAAATCAAAATTGG